GCCCGATCGACATGTATTATGTGAAGCAAACTATAGGTACTTGCGAGGCCATAGCCGAAGAGATGCAGACTCCCATCCGTTATGAGTCCACGACCGTTCTGGGGAAAATAAACAGGATGCTCCTCCTTTGGAAGGGAGATCCTTGTGAGCCTATCAACCATCCTTGGTGGCAACCCATTACCGAGGGCATGATTTCTTCTTTAGGTAATGGGGCTTTGGGCCACTCGGCACAAGGTCTCCTGTCTCTTGCTTCTGCTTCCGGTGATCCCGGATCTTCGGTGACGGCCAGCCATTCCGTGGTTCCCGTGCCATCGCGTACTCCTGAGGCAAGTGCTGGCCCCGCGTCTTCTGCTCCTATCGCCCCCTCTGACCCTGCTGGGCCCGCCGCTCATCGGTCTACCTCTTCCTAGATTTTGTACTTTTAATAATAACAATTTTTGTTCTTTTTCTCTTTTTTTTGTGTAAGGACATGTTTCTTTTGATCTAACGGTTTTTCCCTATCTTAGGAAACGTTTTACAAGCTTACTTATCCTTCCGCTATATTTTGTTCCTGTGTTTACTATTTATTCTTTTTGTTTACTCTACTCGGAGCTAGTCGAGTATAACACGAGCTTTCGGTTATGGTTTTGGTGAACTCGAGTTATGCCAGAATCGAAATACTTGTGTTCACAAGTTATTCTTTTCGCTTGTTTTACTCGGAGCTTGAGCTCGTCGAGTTTGACACGAGCTTATGGTTCTGGCGAACTCGAGTTCTGCCAGAATCGAAATACTTGTGTTCACAAGTTATTCTATTCGCTTGTTCTACTCGGAGCTCGAGCTCGTCGAGTTTGACACGAGCTTATGGTTCTGGCGAACTCGAGTTTTGCCATAATTGAAATACTTGTGTTAACAAGTTATTCTTTTCGCTTGTTTTACTCGGAGCTCGAGCTCGTCGAGTTTGACACGAGCTTATGGTTTTGGCGAACTCGAGTTCTGCCAGAATCGAAATACTTGTGTTCACAAGTTATTCTTTTCGCTTGTTTTACTCGGAGCTCGAGCTCGTCGAGTTTGACACGAGCTTATGGTTCTGGCGAACTCGAGTTCTGCCAGAATCGAAATACTTGTGTTCACAAGTTATTCTTTTCGCTTGTTCTACTCGGAGCTCGAACTCGTCGAGTTTAACATTAGTTTTTGCTTATGGTTCTGGCGAACTCGAGTTCTGCGAGAATCAAAATACTTGTGTTCACAAGTTATTCTTTTCGCTTGTTCTACTCGGAGATCGAGCTCGTCGAGTTTAACATTAGTTTTCGGTTATGGTTCTGGCGAACTCGTGTTTTGTAAGAATCGAAATACTTGTGCCTTTGGCTTTGTGTGGAAAGCCTGATAAGCACCTTTTTACGCCACAAAAAAAAAGGTTTTTCTTATGCCCTTAGTTTACAAAAGTTTAGGCTATCGTTGTCTTTGCACCCTAGCGTTGCGGGTCGTGCCTTTACAAAAAGATAGGTAGATCGATGTTTTACGTGAAGTACTTTTTAAGATGTCCTATATTCCATGGCCGCGGGAGCTTTCTTCCTTCTATGTCTGCCTGTTCGTACGCTCCTCCTTTTAATACCCTCTTTACTACGTAAGGTCCTTCCCAGTTAGGCTCCATCTTTCCCATGGCCTTCAAAGCATCCGCTTGTTTAAGCACCAAATCTCCTACCTGAAAAAGTCTTTTTTTCACTTTTCTGTCATACGCGTTCTTGATTCTTGCTTTGTTGATTTCCATCCGGATGGCGGCTTGCTCCCTTCTTTCCATGATTAAATCCAGCTCCATCCTCAGTTCCTCGTCGTTCACAATCTCGTTACAATCCCGTACCCGGCTAGATGGGATGCTGACCTCTAGCGGTATCACCGCCTCCGAACCATGCACTAGGGCGAACGGTGTTTCTCCTGTTGCTTCTTTGGGTGATGTCTAGTGTGCCCATAGGACCTGGTGTAGCTCGTCCACGCAATTGCCCTTCCACCTCTCTAGTTGTTTCTTGATGCCTTCCATTAGAATCCTATTTGTCACTTCTACTTGCCCGTTTGCTTGTGGATGGGCCACTGTCGCAAATCTTTGCATTATCCCCAAGACGCTGCACCATCTCGTTATCCTTGCCGAATTAAATTGGGTACCGTTATCCGAAATGAGGTCCCTCAGTATCCCGTACCTACAACATATGTTCTGCCATACGAATTTCATGATCTCTGTGCCCGTGATTCTTGCCACGGCCTCTTTTCAACCCATTTGGAGAAATAGTCGATGGCGACCACCAAAAACTTCCTTTGTCCTGCTGCTATCGGCAATGGACCAACGATGTCTATTCCCCATCGTAGGAAAGGACTAGGGGCATCCATTACGGTCATCTCCTCTCCTGGCACGTGTATTCGGGGTCCATACCTCTGACATTTGTCGTAGCTCTTCACGAACTGGATTGCATCCTTTCTCATTGCGGGCCAGAAATACCCTGCTCTCAGCAGCTGCATGGTCAATATCCTCCCGCCTGCATGGTCCCCGCAGCAACCCTCGTGTACTTCCTTAATCGCACATATTCCTTCACCCTTGCTCAGACATTTTAAGTGAGGTCTTGTGAACTCCCTTTTGTACACCAAACCTCGATCTAAGCAGAAGCCCCTACTTTTTGCCACTAGCTTGTTCTGCTCTCGCCGACAAGGTAATTCGTACCCCCCGAGGCATCGGATAATGTCCGTGCGCCAGTCGTCTGTGGTTCCAGCGACGGCCACCTCCTCACATTTCCGAGGTTGTTCTTCAAGGATTGTTATCCTTCTGCTTCCGCATTCTGCTGACAAGCTTCCAACCCTAGCCAAGAAGTCTGCTATCTCATTCTCACTTCTCGGGATTTGTCTGAGAGTTACCTTACGAAAATTCATCAATAGCTCCTTCGCTTTGACACAGTAGTCTTCCATCCTTTCATTTTTTGTTCCGAATACCCCTTTCATTTGCTCGACCACTAACTGGGAGTCTGAATGTACCTCTAGACAGTCTGCCCCTACCCCCGCGGCCAGTCGGAGGGTGTATATCAAGGCCTCGTACTCTGCCTCATTGTTGGAGGCCCGAAAGGTCAACCTAACCGCATACTCATATTCTTCTCCTGTAGGGCTTACCAACATGACCCCGGCTCCGCTCCCGGATTGATTAGATGATCCATCTATGAAAACTTTCCACTCCTCTTCCTGCTCTTTTCGTATTGTTTCTTACAAGAACTCAGCTAGGGCTTGCCCCTTGATCGCCGTGCGGGACTCGTACTCGATATCAAATTAGTCTAGCTCGACTGTCCATTGAACCATCCGTCCCGACACGTCCAGTCGGCCTAATGTACTTTTTAATGGATAATTGGTTCTTACTACTATCGAGTGTGACAAGAAGTATGGTCTTAACTTCCGAGCAGTAATGACAAGGGCCAGGCCCATTTTTTCAATCTCCGCGTACCTCATTTCCGCCCCTTTGAGCATTCGACTTACGTAGTAGATAGGACGTTGTATTCCCTCGCGCTCGCTTAGGAGCACTGCACTCACAGCCTGCTCTCCGGCTGCTAGGTACACATATAGTTTTTCCCCTGTCTTTGGTTTCGCGAGCAGGGGCAAGCGGGCCAGGGTCTCCATCAACTGCTCGAAGGCATGGTCGGCCTCGGCATCCCACTCGAACCGATGACCCTTTCTTAAGATTTTGAAAAATGGGTAACTCGCGTCGGCATCTCGAGAAATAAAACGGCTTAGTGCGGTGATTCTCCCCGCGAGTGTTTGCACCTCCTTTATGCTTCTAGGCGGTCGCATGTCCATTACAGCACATATTTTCTCCGGGTTTGCCTCGACTTCCTTCTTAGTTACCACATATCCCAGAAACTTTCCTGCTTCCACCCCGAATGCACATTTGAGTGGGTTAAGCTTCATGTTGTACTTTCGAAGTGTTGTGAATGTTTCCCTCAAGTCCTCGATATGATTTTTGGCTTCTTCGCTCATAAGAAGCATGTCATCCACATACACCTCCATATTTCGACCTAACTGCGCTCGAAACATTGTATCCACCAACTTCTGATAAGTTGCCCCGGCATTCTTGAGGCCGAACGGCATCACGACATAACAGTATGTCCCTGTAGACGTAACAAAGCTTACGCTCGACTGGTCCTTCTCGCTCAACCGTATCTGGTGGTATCCCTGCGAGGCGTCCATCATGTTCAGCATAGCACACCCCGCTGTTGAGTCCACCAATTGGTCGATCCTTGGAAGTGGGTAATGATCCTTGGGGCAAGCTTGATTTAGATCCCGAAAATCTATGCACATCCTCCATTTCCCCTCCGCCTTTTTGACAAGCACAACATTCAACAGCCAAGTTGGGAATCTGATTTCCTTGATATGCCCGGCCTCTAGTAACTTCCGGACCTCCTCCTCGATAATTTTGTCCTTTTCTGCCCCAAAATGTCTCCTTTTTTGCTTGACCGGGCTTGCATCCGGTCTCAGGTTCAGCTCGTGGACCACTATCGTGGGGTCGATCCCCCCCAAATCCTTAGGTGACCAGGCGAATACGTCCTGATTCGTGCGTAAAAAGGTTGATAGTTCTTCCGCCATTTCTGCACTCAGTGTTGTTCCTATTTTGGTAGTCCGGGTCGGGTCGCTCAGATCGAGTTGGATCATTTTTAGTACCTCCATCGGCTGGACATGAACTTCCTCCTTTTCCTCCGGGTCCACCCGAGGCCTCTTTTCCTCCGTTCTTCTGATGTCATCGCTTCCAGGTCTCGCGGTTCTTTTATCCCAGGCCACGGGGTTTATACGTCGCTGTCCTCTGAGGGCCTGGTTGTAGCATCTCCTGGATGTCTCCTGATCTCCTCGCACTTCCCCGACTCGATCCAAGACTGGGAACTTCATTTTCATGTGGAACGTGGAGACAATGGCTTCGAACGCATTCATCGAGGGTCGCCCCATTATCATGTTATAGGTAGACGGTGCATCGATAATCAGAAATCTTACTGCTCGCGTCTCTTTTAGGGGTCGATTCCTAGTGATACTGGCAGAGTTACCTCACCCATTGGCTGCACCACTTCCCCCGCAAATCCTATAGGGGTTGTATCCACTCTCCGCACTTCAACGTTCAGCCGCATCTGTTTAAAGCACTCGTAATATATTATGTCCACCGAGCTGCGTGTGTCTATCAGTATCCTTGCCACGTCGTAGTTCGCCACCATGGCAGTGATCACTAAGGCATCGTTATGCGGCTGCTGAATCCCCGTCTCGTCTTCTACTCCAAAGGTAATGGGCGGGGCGATGGACACCCGGTACATCATCGCGAGCTCTCCTCTCAACTCTTGTAGCTTTCGCAAGTGGGCCCTGCGGGACCGATTCGAGTCCCCGCCCATAGGGCCTCCAAATATGGTGTGTATGTAGTTGTTAGGAGGTTGAGGGTCGGTATCTTTTTCCGACTTGTTGAGAACTCGTGCACTTCCATTCCCTCCTTTCCGCGGGTACTTGGCGGTAGACCCGGGACTACTCTCGACGAACTCCGAGAGTTTCTTCATCCTGATTAATCTTTCGATTTCATCTCTGAGATGCTGATATTCGTCGGTGGAGTGCCCATGTTCGTTTTGAAAACGACAATAAGGCCCAGCACTAGCGGGCTTCTTCAGGACTTCTGAGTAAGTACGTGGCCACTTGAGCTTCGGATGATTTACAGTAGCCGTCAAGATCTCCGATGGAGCAGTGCTCAAGGGGGCATAGTTTTCAAAACGGTGCCCTGTGCGCCGTTCCGCGCCTGCTTCCTTGCGTAGAAAGGGCTCTTGCTTCCTTATCTCCACTCGAATCTTATCCTTGCGCCTCTCACCTATCGAGGCAGGCTCTGAGGTCCTACTTCGGCGTGCCTCCTCCGCGTTGATGTATTTTTTGGCTCTTCGGAGCAAGTCGTTGAAAGAAACTGGTGCTTTTTTGGAGAGGGAATCGAAGAACTCTCCCATTTGTAGGCCCCGGGCCAGCGCATTGATGAGGACCTCCTCACTGGTGACGGGCACCTCGAGAGTGGCGGCATTAAACCTTTGCACCTCAAAGGTTCGCTCTCTCTTTGCCGTACTGCGAACACAGTAAGTGTGCTTCTTTTGGACTTCTTGGAGCTGGCGAAGTGGTTTAGGAATAGCTCACTGAACTGGGTAAAGCCATCTACCGAGCATTGGGGCAATTGGCTGAACCACCTCTGTGCAGGACCTGCCAGTGTAGTCGCGAAGACCCTACACTTCACCCCATCTGTTAGCTTATGAATCGTGATAAATGTTCACACGGGTCTGTCGTCCCGTGTATTCATATGCTACGGGTCGATAGGGGGCGGGCAACTCCCCTTGCTGTAGCCTTGTCGTGAAGGGGGTGCCCGCCATTCCCTCAGCATCTACCGACGCCGGCATTTGGAGCTCGTCATACTCTCTCGACCCTCCGGGCTGCGACTCAGGTTTTCGTTTTTCAATAGCGTCGCAGCCTCCGCCCTCGGGGGACCTCCCCTAGACCGCAGCCGAGATTAACGCATGGAGGTGTTCTACCGTGAGGGTTATAGTGGTGCCTGCTTTCCCCATTGAAGAGATGGCGACCCCCGGAGTAGGTTCCTCCGGCAATCCTGCCGTCGGGGCCTCGTGGCTGTCAGTCGGCCCTTGGGGAGGAGTTACCTCCCCCTCCAACAAATTTGACAAGTTGCGTGTGACTCTCGGAGTCGACGTCATATGGAGCGCTGACTGTGATTTTGTTGCGGATTCCCACAGACGGCGCCAATTGATCCCGCCCAAAAATCACGTGGCCAGAACAGTGACCTCCCAGTCCTGGTGATGGACCTGTAAGAAAGGAAGACCGGACTGATGCCGGAGTTAGCACTACGACGATTAAGTCAGTATGTATTTACCAGTGTTTTTCTGGGATATTATATAACGTGCATATTTTGTATGTTTTTTTAGAATATGAGATAAAAAGATCTGCCCCTCATCTGGGCACATATACCTATTTATAATACCTGGCGGGGCCGTACCCTGACTCCCTCGGGCTCTAGTTCAGAGGACCTGCTTTCGGCACTCCCTTTACCTTTCGGCCGGATGGTCCGGGCCATCATGGCATCCCTATTTTCGTAGGTGTGATCATGCCCACAGGCATGTCCCTCTGTGTACTCCCCGGCCGAACATGGTCATTCGCCCATTAAATGCTTCTTGTCAGAGCATTCAATGCGCCCCTGTACATACCTGTCAGAGCATTTATTTCATCGCCTTCCTACATTTTCCGGATCTCATTTCCCCTCAGTCAGGGATCTCGAGTAGATTTTCTCAGTCGAGTCCTCGCGACAACATGGTTTTTCCCTCTTTTTGGGCTATCAGATCTTCCTTGGGCCGGTTGGGCTTTCCCTGGGCTGTTTCGGTGGGCTGCTGGATTTGGGCCTTGTAACTGGACATGCACTACCGTACATGTAAAAAAACATACGCAAAAGTGCATTCGCAACAATGTTTTTATAAACACGAACTGCAACACTAGGACATTAATACGCATAACCAAACAACAACAAAAACACTAGATACACAAGATACAGTGGAGTGTAGAAATAACACTCTACGTTTACGTTTACGTGGATTTTTTTATGGATTAATTTATATTTCTACTATAATTTGTGGATTTGGTATCTTATAGGTACAAATCGACAATTGGGTGTCCATGAAGCAAAAATGATCAGAGAGTAACAAAAGAGTTGCAATTAGGAAAATAAAATCAAATTAGAAGAGAGGATCCCTAAACATCTTCGGTAGTGTCCACGAAGTCGAGCATAACTTTCTCATCCGGACTCCAAATCAACTAGTTCATGCGGCATTAGAAAGCTATTTCAGCTGGTTATGATTCCTGTCTAACATCAAATTTCCAAATTCGGACTCGAACATGGTCAAAATTGGATTCCTAAAGCGATCATGAAAATACGTGCTACAGTTCAAGGACATGAATGCGCATGACGAAACGTGCACAAAAACACTCGCTAGAGAAGATACATACATAAGTAAAAGTATAAAAGCATGCAGAAAAGTACTCACGCAAAAGTGCATTCGCGAAAAGGACATTAATACAATTCAATAAACATGCACAAACACACTCGCTCAAATGGACATCCAAAAACGTACATGTAAATAAACATTCGCAAAAGTGCATTTGCAACAACGTTCAAAAACACGAACTACAACACTAGGACTTTAATACGCATAACCAAATAACAGCAAAAACAATAGATACAAAAGATGCAGTGGAGTGTAGAAATAGAGAGTAAGAAATGAGTTGCAATTAGGAAAATAAAATCAAATTAGAAGAGAGGATCCCTGAACATCTTCGGTAGTGTCCACGAAGTCGAGCATAACTTTCTTATCGGTACTCCAAATCAACTGCTTCTGGCGGCATTAGAAAGCTATTTGAGCTGGCTACGCTTCCTGTCTAACGTCAAATTTCCAAATAAGGACTCGAACAAGGTCAAAATTGGATTCGAAAAGCGATCATGAAATACGTGCTACAGTTCGAGGACATGAATGCGCACAAAGAAACGTGCACAAAAACACTCGCTAGAAAAGAAACGCACATTAGTAAAAGTATAAAAGTATGCACAAAAGTACTCACGCAAAAGTGCATTCGCAAAAAGGATAATGAAAACACAAACTACAATCCTAGGACATTAATACAAATCAACAAACACGCACAAACACACTCGCTCAACTGGACATGCACAAATGTACATGTAAAAAAACATGCGCAAAAGTGCATTCGCAATAACGTTCTTAAAAACATGAACTACAACACTAGGGCTTTAATACGCATAACAAAACAACAACAAAAACACTAGATACAAAAGATACAGTGGAGTGTAGAAATAACACTCAACGTTTACGTTTACATTGATTTTTTTATGGATTAATTTACATTTCTGTTTTAATTGGTGGATTTAGTATCTTATAGGTACAAAACAAAAATTAATTGTCCAGGAAGTAAAAATGATCAGAGAGTAACAAAAGAGTTGCAATTAGGAAAATAAAATCAATCTAGAAGAGAGGATCCCTCAACATCTTCGGTAGTGTCCACGAAGTCGAGCATAACTTTCTCATCCGAACTCCAAATAACCTGGTTCCGACGGCATTAGAAAGCGGTTTCAGCTGTCTACAATTCCTGTCTGACGTCAAATTTCTAAATTCGGACCCGAACATGGTCAAAATTGGATTCCAAAAGCGATCATGAAAATACATGCTATAGTACGAGAGCATGAATGTGCATCAAGAAACGCGCACAAAAAGACTCGCTAGAAAAGATATGCACATAAGTAAATGTACAAATGCATGCACAAAAGTACTCACGCAAAAGTGCATTCGCAAAAAGGATCATGAAAACACAAACTACAATCCTATGACATTAATACAAATCAACAAACATGAAAAAACACACTCGCTCAACTGGACATGCACAAACATACATGTAAAAAAACATGCGCAAAAGTGCATTCGCAACAACGTTCTTAAAATCACGAACTACAACACTAGGACTTTAATACGCATAACCAAACAACAGCAAAAACACTAGATACAAAAGATACAGTGGAGTGTAGAAATAACACTCTACGTTTACGTTTACGTGGATTTTTTTTTGGATTAATTTATATTTCTATTTTAATTTGCGGATTTAGTATCTTATAGGTACAAATCGATAATTGGGTGTCCACGAAGCAAAAATGATCACATAGTAAGAAAAGAGTTGCAATTAGGAAAATAAAATCAAATTAGAAGAGAGGATCCCTAAACATCATCGGTAGTGTCGACGAAGTCGAGGATAACTTTCTCATCCGGACTCAAAATCAACTGCTTTCGGCGACATTAGAAAGCTATTTCAGCTGGTTACAATCCTGCCCAACGGCAAATTTCCAAATACGGACTCGAACAAGGTCAAAATTGGATTCCAAAAGCGATCATGAAAATACGTGCAACAGTTCGAGGACATAAATGCGCATCAAGAAACGTGCACAAAAACACTCGCTAGAAAAGATAAGTACATAAGTTAAAGTACAAAAGCATGCACAGACACACTCGCTCTAATGGACATGCACAAACGTACATGTAAAAAAACATGGTCAAAATTGGATTCCAAAAGCGATCATGAAATTACGTACTACATTTCGAGGACATGAATGCGCATCACGAAACATGCACAAAAACACTCGCTAGAAAAGATACGCAAATAAGTAAAAGTACAAAAGCATGCACAAAGTACTCACGCAAAAGTGCATTCGCTAAAGGGATAATGAAAACACAAACTACAATCCTAGGACATTAATACAAATCAACAAACATGCACAAACACACTCGCTCAACTGGACATGCACAAACGTACATGTACAAAAAACTGCGCAAAAGTGCATTCGCAACAAGGTTCTTAATAACACGAACTGATACACTAGGGCTTTAATACGTATAACCAAACAACAACAAAAATACTAGATACAAAAGATACAGTGGAGTGTAGAAATAACACTCTACGTTTACGTTTCCGTGCATTTTTTTTGGATTAATTTATATTTCTGTTTTAATTGGTGGATTTAGTATCTTATAGTTAGAAATCGATAATTATGTATCCACGAAGCAAAAAATGATCAGAGAGTAAGAAAATAGTTGCTATTAGGAAAATAAAATCAAATTAGAAGAGAGGATCCGTCAACATCTTCTGTATTGTCCACGAAGTCGAGCATAACTTTCTCATCCGGACTCCAAATTACCTAGTTTGGGCAGCATTAGAAAGCTATTTCAGCTGGCTACAATTCCTGTCTAACGTCAAATTTCCAAATTCGAACTCGAACAAGGACAAAATTGGATTCCAAAAATGATTGTGAAAATACGTGCTACAGTTCAAGGACATGAATGCGCACCAAGAAACGTGCACAAAAACACTCGCTAGAAAAGATAAGTAGATAAGTAAAAGTATA